GAGCAAATGGGAGCTCACTAACTCCAGCTGGACTGGGAATGAATGAGCATGGGCTTAAACAGGTCCCTCTTAATGTGGTTTATAGTTGGGACAGACTGAGAGGCCAATGACAATGGCACTGGTATTTGTCTCTACTGCATGTACTGGCTTTTTGGGATCCTATACTCTTTGAAGGCACACCTTGCCCAGCTTGGATGTAGTGGGAAGGATCTTGGACTTCCCACAGGGCAGGGTGGTTTGCCCTCTCTTAGGACTGGAGGGTGTGTGAGGGGAGTGGAAGGGAAGTGAGAGGAGGGGAGGAAGTGGGAAATTTAATTGGTAGTATTTTTAAAGTAATAAAAAAGAACAGAGATAAGTATGGTTTGGTAGCAGCTTGGGTGGGCTTTGTTTTCTAGAGTCAGGTAGAGGTATGGCTCCTTTGGGACTATGCCCATGCCCATGCCCATGGCTTGGTGCTCCCTGCCTGGACAGGTGGCAGGATCAGGTCTACTATACTTGCACAGAAAGGAGAGCATGGCAAATTCCCACTGCCATACACAGAGATATTTCCAGGCTGTTACTCAGATAAAAATGGTTTATATGCTGCATGCTCATTCTCAGTGTTGGAATGCTGAGAACTGTTCCGATATGGCTGCCCTAGAGCCTCCACTGTTTTCAAAGTGAAGAGAGGCAGAGCCAGCATCCAGAGCAGCTGCAAACAAGCTGATTGCTATTTTTAAAGCTCTTCAAGACAGTAGAGAAATACAGATAATGCAATAAGGACAGATCCAGACATAAAAACTCTAAATGGGTCACAGTGTGGATAAGTATACATAGGCTTGAATGAGAGAAGAAAAAGTATAGAGAGTTGAAAAAGAAGTAAAAAAAAATTCTTTAAAGAATCAGAGTACAGACAGTCATAGATTAAGAGGAGTAAAGAAAATAAGACACATAAAGATGGATAATTCACAGAGTCTGGATTATGTATATTATTGTGTTTTCTTCAAATTTTTTGACTGTGAAAAAACTAAGAACAGAGAGATATTTTATTGTATGGACTGCTAAGCTAAACCAGCATGTTATATTATAAAGGCACGTTGACTTCAAAATTTGAGTCTAAGGATATATTGCTTTGGCAAAGAATTTTTTTTTGTTTCCACAGAAGATGAGAACCTGTGTTTTGCTTCCAGACCAATATCATTTTATAGACTGAGATCTTTTGAAAGGTTGCTTTAAACACTCCCTCAAATATACACTCCTCAAAAAATTACTTTTCTCAATAAATGGCAGAAAGAAATTTGGATAGAACTTTCCCCATATTCCCAAATATTGTTTGAAAACGTTTCTTTACATTTAAAGGGGGATATGATATAGATAAGAATAATTTGCATTTATATGAGTCTTGCTTTATTGATACAAATTTCAGGTCAATTTTCTTATATGTGTTTCTGCTCTTTATTAAGGTATTGTGTTTGTGTAGTTCATCTAAAAATGTAATGTATAATTAAGAAATATAGGTTAATAGATAATCATCTATAATAGTCAAGCTTTTAGTCATGTTATATTTTCTTGAGGTATATATACACACAAACACACACACATTATTTGGTATTCTTCAAATTTCTCAGAGACTTTCAGAATATGGTGTTTAATGTTTTAAAAATTTAGGACTTTTCATGACACTGAGATCCATCTGCTTCTGGCAACAACAATCTACTTCTAGAGGAAGATGTACATTGAAGAGGCCCCTTATGGAGTTGATTAGCCATTTGGACAAGAAACTGCCTTGCCTGGACTGCTTAACTGGACATGCAGTACCTCCAGAGAAATGACTGCTGAACTTGCCTAAAGGTGAGATGATCCTTTGGGGTTCCTTCTTCATTAAAGAGTCTGTGAGACATTCTGCAGGATACAGAAGAAAGTGGCTGACAAACAGCCAATATAGACAGAACTGTATTTGAAATTTCCTGCTTTGTGGAAAAATCTGCTATATACTATGGGCTTGTGGGCTGATGATTGGATGCCCCAAAGATATAAAAGACCTTCGGGTGACTGTCCAGGCAGCAAGATGTCTTTGTCAATTCTAGAATTTTGGAAGTTGCTTGCAATGCACTTCCTGTTTACTTACGTAATATTATATCCTTCAGGAGTCTTTGATAGAGTTGAAGAATTTATAGTTATATTTTTCCTTAGTTATGATAAAAGATAAAGTAGATATAAATATTGTAACTCTAATTCTTGCTTGATACTTGTTTTGTTATATGCAATTTAACTATGTTAAAGTTAAAACCTTCCTTTTTGCCTGGCGGTGGTGGCGCATGCCTT